CCAAACACACACACACACACACACACACACACACACACCACTTCAAATATTAAATATATTAGTTATTTGCTATTTGCTTCATAGTTCTGCTTTGTGGTAAAGTTAGTAAAGCAAGTGAAAGAAGAAATAAAGCACAGAAGAAAGAGAGAAGTTAGTGATTAGTCAGACCTTTTGTTTATTTTTTAGTATCATATTAGAAGACACAAAGAGGAAAACATAGGTAGAAGTTAGTGTTAACACACACAAGTACTGTAAATTCTGAGATGCACGTTTTTTTTTTTTTGTTTTTTTTTTTACAATATTCAAAGAAATTGTACAGAAAACAGTCAAGAGACAGGAAAAAAGAAGTACAGGAAAGTTAGAAATGGCCTGTTAGAAGTTAAAGTGTTAATAGATTTTGCGTTTATATACACAACAGTCACTGTAGACACACTGAGCTGTACAACACCTAATCCTTCAATGGCTTAATGCTTTGTCGACGACATCATTCATCTTGTAAAAACTGAGACCTTTTGGAGAGTGTTTTGGTGGTGTTGACACCACGTACTGCACAAAAAAGGAAAGGCTGAGAGACGGCATGTTTTCAAAGTGCTTTCAATCCATCAATGATGAGAAACAAGGCGGAAATGAGCGAGCTACCCTTCCTGTCAATGTCATATCGTTTAAACAGTTTTACCTGGCACATAAAAGAATGGGACTGTACAAAAATTATTAGGAAGGTTTGTGGAGTCAGAAAATAATAGTTTCTCCAACTAAATTTACTCAAAGGAGCTAAACCAGTAGCTGTAAGCATTGGCATATTATACTGTCTAAGCTTATCATAAGACTTTTTCTTTAGTGTCAATTACAAAATAACACCATTAGGTGTGCTGAAAGATGCTGAAATTCTTTCCAGTGGATAGCGTTTATACAAACTAATATGGAAATCATAAACATCCCTACTATAATCATCTTTAGACAGTCCCAGATTGTTAAGATTCTCCATATAAAACTAAAATTGGTAAAAACACTTGTGCTCTCTAAAAGCTCTGCAAGCTTTCTTTGGTTTGAGCTAAACCCCAACAGTCTGTAGCATTTCTGAAGGGAGTCTGTCTGTATTTTTATGTAGGCTTTAGATAACACACTGTAGCTAACTGCAAGCTAGCAAGCGGGTCAAACAAAAAGTGTTGAGCTGCCGGGTTCACTGTTCTTGTCACCCAGCCAACAGATGATTGCAGGAGAGGGTGTTCAGTCTGTTTGCATTAACTGATTTCTGCCATGGACGTCACCTCATGCACTGTTGTCGTGATTTGGTATTATATAATATGGATATTAACATTTTCCAACAATATTCAATGTTACATAGTCACGTATACTGGGTACAGAACTTTAAAAATAAGCAACTGGGCTTCAGTGGACCTGGGCATCAGCCACCCATGCAATATAAACTAACAAACAATATAAGCCTAGGCGTGACACATCTGATTACCATAAACAAACATTTTAACATACAAATACTGTATATACAGTAACATGGTAGTTTAGAGTGACTTATCAAAAACCTTCCAGTGCAGTTTCTCCTAAAGAATAACTCCACCAACAAGTGATTTTTATATCATATTGGGAACATTAATATCATTCTGTGTGGTTGTGGTGTTAATCCCCCCCCCCAAAAAAAAATCTATATCCAGCTTAAAAAAATACCATCTGCCTTGCTGTTAAGCATAATACAAAAAAATACTGATTATCTGTACTGAAATAGTCATTGCACTATGGCTCTGAGAGTCCTGTCATATATTAAAAAAAAATTAAAAGTGCATCATTTTGCGTTTAATGAAAGATAAAAGCTTCACTTAATCAATCTTTTAATCACTACGCAGAAATAATTCTCACATCATTTTCTCTCCATTAAAGTTATTGCAGCTTCACAGTTTCCCCTCATGAAGTTATTTAAATAAAGAGTTCCTCCACTATTTTACTCTTTTATTAAATGATGGAGGTTAATTTTTGAAAAATTTATTCAGTTAAAAACAAGTAGGAAAGAGAAACTGGCTGAACCCCCCTGTGGCTGGTTTTTTTTATTATTACTGGTAAACAAACACATGCTGACTCCTGAAGGAGTTTTCCTCCTTTGGTTTCAATATTTATAAGATTTCTTTCATTTTAGCATATTTATAATTCAACCAATTTCCTATTACAGTGGCTCTTTACGCCATGCTAACTTTCAAAACATAGTTTTTCAGCATTTAAATAAAACTGCTTCCCCTAACAGCTATTTTGCTGCTGAACCATCTTCAACTTGCTGGCTGACCTTAAAACTTTTATATCCATCAGCTCATTTGCATATGTGAGGCTGTGGATAGCATCCTGTGCACCATTTCACACTGTAGAGGTGCAAGTTTCTGGTTTGCTAATAAGATAAGAAGCTACCATATTAACGTCATAAGACCTGAACTCTTTCATTGCATGCATTTTAAATTTCTCTCTGCTATTTGGGCTGATTCGACCTGATGAATGTAAAAATAAAGAATTATCTTTTTACCTGATTTTGCTCTACAAGGGTCTGATATCCATATAGGAGGACATTCGTTTTAAATGTTGATAGAACAGTGGCAGTATAATGTCTTTGAAGTGGATATCAGGCCCTTGTAGAGCAAAATTTAGTATAGTTAGTTAGTAATTAGTAGTATTTAGTCTAGACAACCCAAAATGTGATGTCCCCATATGTGAACATATGGGGACTGCAGGTCCAGGAGGTTAAAGTTATGGAAGTCTGTGGAAGACATTGCTGTTGCTGTTGTACTTTCCTCACAACTTTATAGGCTCAAACTATAGTTTCAAGTAATACTGAGTAAAACTTGCATGCAGTTAATGTTGTACATGTTGGTCATTATTCAAACCAAAAAACTCTATATATGACTTGTTGTCTTGACCTTGAATTGGGAATAATACCACAATGGTATTAGAAACCAAAAGTTTATAACAATTAGATTGTGCATAAAACAAGCTTGGGCTTGACAAGCAGATCAGATTTTCAGCTTTAAGTAGATGGCGACCATGTTTTCAATCTGCATGTGTGGATTCAAGTCCATAAGATAAAGCACAAGTCTAATGATCTCCATTTGGTAAAGTTTTGTTTCTGTATACAACTTGTGGGATTTACACACTGACAACTGGAGACATCATATGTAAGTTGTTATTCTTACAGTAGTACATCCTAGTTCACTTTGAGGACACATGAATAGTTAGTGGTCTGTTAGTTGAAAGGTCAGCATTCACACTGTGATCACAAAATTTACATGACCGGCACCCTCACTGATAAGTCTTAAGATTTCACACGTTTTGCTGTGCTGTGCTTTGTTTTAAACAACTTCTAAATTCCTGGGAAATCTTTAAAAGAAAGTATAGTGTGTAAAGTTAGCATATACCAAAGAGCCACGTGACAGACAAATATACAGATATCCTCATCACTTTGATCAACATCATCATTTTTCCATGGCACACATCTCTAATACAACACCTCCATGTGTCTTGGGTAGTTTTGCCATGTCTACTAGAAAAACTAAAGAGGCTTTTACTTCAGGAACCAGACGTGTCTAAAACAGGGAATCCCACAAAATATACACCCCGACCACATGATGAAATGAAACCTAATACTTTTGAGTTCTTTGGTTCAGAGCTCCCTGTATCCTCTGAAACCCTCAAACAAAGTCCTAGATTGGTCCCAAATACTCTGCTGATGACATTATTTAAGGTCCACTCCCGGCCTCATAATAACTAATAGATTTCTAACGTTTCCCTGGCAGTGATTTCTCTGCCACACCTGGCCAATTTATTTCTGTTTTTGGTCCAAACTGACATCGTTAAAAGTAGATTAGGAACACTGAGTTCCTGTTAGAACCTGAGAAGGGAGCGGCCGGCTGCTAGGTTTGCGGAGAGAAACATGACAGATGTAGAGAAGAAGAAAATTGGGTAGTAAAAAGTCTTTCAGACGAACATGAAGCCTAAGATCCCCAAACATGTGTCTTCATGCATCTATTGGCACCCCCTACATTAGTTCAACCTGACCTGATTATTATGAAGCTGCTATATTGAGACAGATAAACTCCTGAATGCATTTCTTATACTGCTGCTCAGTGGGGCTGCTGATTGGGTATTGACCTGGCTGTCCAAAGGGTCCTTCTGACTCCCGCATCTCATCGTTCATCCGGGCAAGACGCAGCCTGAAGGAAAAAATGAGAAATCAAAAAGAGGACGTTAGTTATTTGAAAAACACTTAATGGACTCTATAGTGCGTAAGTAAAACAACATACAGCGTGACTATATCTGCGTTGGCCTGCTGCACAGCTATACTCAGCGGATCCTGGCCATCCTCGTCACCATCGTTCTGTGTAGCTCCTCGTTTGAGGAATAAACACACCTGCCTGGAAACACAAAAGAAAACAAGATCAATTATAACCAGACCTCAATGGTAATCATTTTTTAAAATATTTCAACCACAAGTTAGGTCACGTTTCTTTAACACTGGATGTATCTGTAAACGTAAGGAAGGTTTAGTCTGTTTCCTTGTTGCAACCGGGGGCCGTGCTTTGAGAAGCCTGGCACTATTGGAGTGAAAATATGATTTATAGCCACGTTCAGTCAAACAATGGTTTACCCGGGAGAACAACAAGCCTGAACTTCTCATAAAAGGAAAAGTCAATTCTTTTAAATCACTCATGCATGCCTTTTAACTAAGTTTCCTGCACGAGGCTCATTGTCCTGGACAAGCTTAGCATCACTCCAACAAAGCTCGCTTTACTGAACTGTAAACCATGTGTGAAGTGGTTAGAAATGCAGCGGGGAGAGTAAAACTCCTCATGACTCACCCCGTGTGTCCCAGATACGTGGCATGATACAGGGGCCCCCTCCCTCTCGCGTCTCTTTGGTTGACGTCAGCAGCGTTCTGGAGCAGAAACTCACAGGCAATCAATGAACCCTAAAACAAAGCAGAAGTGAAACAAAGATGTTTACATTGGATTATGTCATAATCAGATTTTCTGTCTAATGAAAGACCGATGTGAGAAGTTTCCAGACCTCTTCGGTCGATTCACTCACCCCGATCACAGCCTGTATGAGGGGCGTTTTTCCTTCGTCTTCCTCGTTTACTAAATTGACATCAGCTCCATGAGCTAGCGCTGCAGCCATGACGGGGAGGTTACGAGCTTTCGAGGCTTTATAGAGCAGGGCTCCGGGATGAAGATCCCTTAGGTCCTCCAGGTCTGACGTCTCTGGCTCGGCCTCCAGCTCAGCCTCTCCGCTCGAGTCCTCGGACACCTCACACTCTGAGGACAGCGTAACAAAACTCAGCAACAGCAGCCGCATACAAAAATAAAAGCAGCTCGTTACAGTTACTCCCCCGGACTCACCCTCCTCTGTGACGCTGTCCACTACTGAGCCAAACACCAGGATGTCTGTGCTGCCGTCTGTACTGCCTCCCAACCCGCTGTCGCTGCTCAGACCTGCCGGACCGGGAGGCGCCACAACATGGACACATTAGTCACAGCTGTCTCTTTCAGAGCGATTAGTGTCATTTTAATGGTGCAATAGTGAACACACAATCCAAGCTCTGTATTCCCATGCTTTACAATGTGTGGTACAAAGGTGTGAGTGTCACAGTAGGGAGTTGCTTACTTCGAGGCCCAGATCCCGTATCAAAGTAGGAGAAGAGGGAGTCCAGCTCATCGGGACAGAACAGAGATTCTCGTCTGAACTTAGCAGCTGCTATGAGATGAACAGAAAGAAAGCTTTTATATGGTGTCTAATTTGTATGAAAAACACTGGATTTCATCGCTGAAATTCATCGCTAAGCTGCATTTCACCTGACATACCTGAGGAGAAGGTGGAGGGGGAGATGTTTCCAGGCTCCTGTCGGTATCGCCGCCGTGTTTTGGGCACCGTCGTAGCGCTGTTGTGTCTTCGGCATTTCTTCACACTCCACCGCCGCTCCGACTTCCTCTCCCCGTTGATGAGTATCTCAGTGGAGCCCAGCTTCTTCAAGAATTTCTTCTCTACATATTTTGCCTTAATCCAGGCCTCTTTTTCTTGCCTGAACAAAACCACGTGACATACGACTTTTGATGTTAGTGCCTCAAAGGTCACATGTTTATAGATCAGATTAGCTGCGCTTCATCAGTTCTCACCGTGAGCTGGATGGTAATGGTTTCTTCAGACCTTTTTCTTGGCAGGAGCCTTCATAGATGTGGTTGATGACGCTGTTTCCGAGTTCACACATCAACTACGAGGAAATATGACAATGATTAGGAACTTAAAGTAATAGTTTGATAGTTTAGGAAATATATTGGGCTTTTTGCTAAAGGTTAGCTGAGATAACCCAGATCACTCCCTTGTCTTTTTGTAAAATATAAATGCTTGCTAGCTTAGCATAAGAACTAAAAATGGAAACTGCTAGTTTATCTAAGCTAAACAAACTCACCGTTGGTTTAACATTTCTGTTTTTAAACTAATTAAACAAACATAAAGCTCGTATTGGTTTCAGAGATACATTTTGATATGCATTTTGTGTATTTTGACTAGTTGCCTTTAGACCACAGTTAGGGCTGTGCGATATGACCAAAATCTCATATCCCGATATAAGAATTCTATCGTCCCGATAACGATATAA